TACTCCGAGATGGCAAATCCAAGAAAGTCGATGAGAAACAGCTACTACTTTCTCACTTTTACCAAGTAGACACATTGAAAGCAAATAAAAGAAGCACTAGACATGATTCATACCATATGTATCCCCAACAACAATCGAGAGGAATTTTACTGATTTGAGTTAGCCACATTTTCGTACATTTCATAAAATAAATGAAATAAAAAAAAATAAAATTGATGAAGCAGAGAAAATGGATGTGCTAGGGGACGAGAAAATAGTAATTTTCTTTATTTGGCCTAATAGTATGCAAGATATTTTTATGATGAAAAAAAAATTATGAATATATTGAACCTTCAACTGGTCTTTAAAGTAATATTCTTAGGTTTTTAATAAGAATTTATCTTGCAATATTTGTGACACTTATATTTTTATTGCTATGTTTTGTGCAGTATGTCTTAAAAGATTGGACAATTTCCAATAGGGACTTAATATGCCGATGTAATTTACATTAGAATTATTCACAAAACAGAACTGCTATGTAGGAAAAATTCAAACTCAAGCAACTCGTACAATTTTATGCTTTTATGTCATTGTGAAGAAAAGCATAAATTTAAAATTAATACTGCTGGTAGTGCAAATAAGCAATTAGTAGAGCTGTGCATAGTACCCCAGCAGAAAACTTTTATACAAAGGTTAGATTTAATACTTGGAACAAATTTTCTGAGGGCCTGCAGGGCCCGAGGAAATTTTTGAATGCATTAAATCTAACCAAGTATAATAATTTTTCGTGGTACGTGATATGTGGCCTATAAAAGTTGAATTGGTCTTGCATACGAACCTAAAAATAATCGAGCCAAGTGTATACTATGTGAAAAATTATTGTACGTGGAGGATAGGCAAATAATATTATAAGTTGCAGTGATGACATCACAATTGACTTATAATATTTCAATGTGAAGAAAAGCATAATATAAAATTAATATTGCTGATAATGCATTTATAAATACAGTATTATTGTACATTACCAGTATTACTATTGTATTTCTATATCCATCATTAGTATTGTAGCTATAGTTTTCCATTGGTGTCCTAGCTAATTTTGCATTTGTAATAACTGTGTATGAGCATGGTTGGCACAACGGATGCGTTTCGGCTCATCATTTCGGCTTAAAGTTGGGGTTTTAATCCTCGATGTGTATTTCGCTTGTGACCTTGAACAAGGCACTTTATCCACATCTCTCTCCACCCAGGAGTATAAAATGTGCTGTCATTAATTCAAATTATTATTTACTTGAAATTATTATTAAGACCAATTGTATTGCTTTTATTCAGCAAAGTCACTCTTATTTTGTCATTAAGTTAGTACAGTAGTTACATATTGGTATTTTTCATTGGTTGAAATAAGGCGATAATTTTTTTTTTTACCTTGTTTAGCAAACTCGCTGACCACCAGTAATGATTTAGAATATTTATAATTTAATTTTTGGCCAATTAGCATACCCGCCACCACAAAAAATAGTAATTTTTTTTTTATAAATTTTTATTACGCCTAATTCTTCCTCAATTATATAGATTTAAAGCATTTAACCATCCCATATACTACGCTGTTTACATTCACCAATAAAATTTCATTTTTATTTTCTCCCTATCTGGATGTTTTTGGTGAAACTATTTGCTAAATAAGAAAACAAAATTTGATTCTAATTTTTTTACACTTTCCACTGACAATCTTTAAAAAAAATAAGTTTGCGAAACTTGGTATAGTCTCGCTTAAGAAAAACTATTGTGCTTAAGATCGAATGGACTCATACTTTTACAAAATTTTAGACTCAATTACATTGATCAGAAATATGAAAAGTATGGCCTTGTGAAAATTCACCAAATACTACTTCTAAAAATTTTAATTTTGAAATAAACGTAGTGATATCAAATTAAATTTATTATACTAATATCAAAATTGTGTTTTTACTTCTCACTATTGTTTATAAAATTAAAATCTCAAGAAGACTGTACATAAGGCTTTCCAATTTTATTTTTGCCTTTGGCGTTTTTTGATGAAAAACATTCAATTGATTACTATCTAATCATCCACAAAACATAATGTACCGAGTAACATGCCTTGGAGAAAGTCGTTATCTTACAATTGAAAATTACTTCTTACTTTACGATGAGTTAGTAGGTATAAACAAGAAGGTAATTTTCATTATGTAAACGTAATTTTGTATGTTGTACTGTAATGGTTTGACCATACATGGAACAATACCATTTTAGTGGTTGGGTGGGAAGAGGTTGAGAGCAAGTGGAAAATCAGTGTTATAAAATGCTATTGACAACATGTACTACTGTAGTAGATATGTATGTATGAATATTGAAAGGCAAAATGCTGAAAAATAAGAATGCTGTTGGAAACAATGGCTGCATCTCGGTAGAGATAAAAATTTGATATTGATAAGCAACAGCTAAAAAGTAAACGTAGATAAACAGCCAGAAAGAGATCCAGGACTTTCAGAGAACACTAGTCCTTCCTCAGTGGCGAGTGAGTTAGGGTAGAAAAAGCAAGAGAGAAGCAAAAGGCTAGGTAAGATAGGGCAGTGAGAGTCAGTAATTATCGTGAAAAATGAGTGAACAGGAAAGCCAAAACTTTAACGCTTTAACAGTATACTATGTGTATAGATATGGTTTTGATATAGGCATATGAATATGTGTATATATTATGTATATATATATATGTGTGTGTGTGTGTGTGTCTTTTAAATAATTATGTCTAATCAAGTAAACCTTGTTTCCCAAGGATGCTACAATTATATATACCTGTACAAATCTACCTTTACTGCTTATGAACTGTACATAAACTTTAATTATACTGTACTGCCTATTTTTATAATGACCTACTCTAGATTATTATTTCTAAACTAAATTGTCATCAGCCAAGAGTTTTACACTGCTGTACCCAATTTGTGAAAGAATCTCCGATTTAATTCAGTGGCAGATCTAGGAATATGAAATAGAGTGTGCCCAGGGAGGGTCCTCAGCACCATCAAGGTTGGAGCCGAGGGAAGAAAATATATGATTATAGTAATTCACGTTTAGATGGCCAAATGGCACTCTCAGACCTAATTACAATTTGGCCTTTTTCTCCAATTTTTTTTTTATAATTAAAAAATTTAGTGGGGACCGAGCCGGCTCAATATCCCCCCCCCCCACCTTTGAATCCACCACTGTAATTTGTCACTATCCAGAGCTTAAAAAATGATTACACAATTTGAGTCATTATTTTTTTCTTGTACAGTATATCTGACTGCTAAGGTGGTTTTATGCACAATTTATTTAATATCATTAATAAGCTGGATGACTTATCAGGTAAACGTCCTCTATATTGTGTGTCCAGCAAGCTGACCTTAAGAGTTACGACTTTAGTTTAAATATGTACTCTGATAAGGAAATATATTAGATTGTCTTATGATAGTGTTTTGTAGTTAACAACCTCCATAATCATTTTTATATTATTAATTTTAGGTTTTTCATATTATTGGTATTATAATTTTGTTAAAATATTTATATTATTATTCTATTATAAATGTGGCGTGTTGCTACTGTTGCGGTTGTGAATTAATACTCAACACAAGGAACAGTGCCATTGCCTAATACTAACCTCCTAATTAGTATTATAGTTATCAACATTGTTGCCATCGTTATCATTATTACCACCATTATTACCAATATCATAGTCTTATCTGCATCATCATCATCATAATGAGCATTATCAGCATTAGTATTAACATCAGCATCATTACCATCATCATTGTAATTATTTACACCATCTTCATCATCATCGTTAGCATCATCATCATCATTTACGTCATTACTTTGGAAAAAGCTTTTTCGTGCGCTGCATGTTTTGTGGAATTTACATGATGATATCCCAGTTAGCTGACATTCAACCCATACATGATGTAATGGGATGTGTGGGTGTATAAATGTACCATACAGGTGCATGATATACAGTACAAGTGTATTGCGCAAGAATCATTGCGTGAGGAAGTGATTATGCAGATTCACTAATGTAGTTTTACATTCATAAATTCTCTAATTTTGATGGAAATTATCCTACTAAAATGAGTATTATGCTAATGAAATATTATGCAAATGATAATGATATGTTTATCATACCAATGAATATATTATTATTCTTATGAGATTTGTACTAATGATGTATAACATTTTGTCAATGATGTTCATTGTGTTAATTGATATTATGTAAGTTATACAAATGAATACATTATTATTCAGATTCTAATAATGACGATATTGTAGAGATGTATAGTGCTAATAGCATATATTATGATGATGCTAATTTATGTTAATGATTAATATGTTAATTATGTACATGATATATTATACAAAATCAAAACATCGTTCTTAAGATATTGTGATAATGCTAATATGATGTATATTATGCTAATGTGATATATTGTTCTGATGAAACATGATGATATGTTAATTATTCTTAATGAATATTGATTTTTTATCCTTAAAGGGTTAGTCACTGACTTGTTACTCATGACCAATGATTTGGTGATCAAGAATTAGAGTTACATATTATTATCACTGCACATCATCTGCCCTAAAAATATCTGATTATTATTCCTGATACCTATGTCTAGACTTCATGTCGTCATTTAAACATTTTTTTCCACATTCCTTTCGATGTAATAACAACTTAAAATCTTAAACTAATATAGTATCCAATTATTCTGTGGACTGTTGTGTTAATAATTACCAGATTTATAGGATTAATAATAAAATTAGTTTATTGTAATTTTTTGCTATTTTTTATAATTCTTGAAAATCCTTTTTTTCAATTTTGTTAAACATTACCCTTTTTAAGCAAATGATTACATTATTTTTACCCTATATAAGGTATGGTAAGCCCTCCAGCTTATTCTAAATGAAGTGCTGCTTTGTAAAGTCTTAGAACAACTGGCAAAATGGTTTCTAATACTTCGTATTTTTTATTCAAGGACATCATGGGGAGGAAGTTAAATTTATCACACTTATCTGATGGAGAATGCCGGCAAATCCTGGATGTTGTTCAACGAGACTTCCGGTTGCGGCAAAGAGAGAAAGAAAGGATTGGGTAAGAAAACCAATGTTAATAGTTTTCTGTTTGAATATATTGATTTGTTGATATATATTTTGTATATAATGTATTGTGAATTAAAAGTTTCAAATTTCATGGCATTATCATATCTAATGCTGCGTTAGTGCCTAAGTCCATATTTGGAAGTTATCTGTCTGTATTTTATTAGCATGACCGAAATGAATACTGTAGGTTAGGCTGTATAAATGGATGAATCACGGACAGCTCTTCTTGTGCCATCGTTTAAGAGCCTTCGAGGTTTTCACAATGATGCATGACTTTCTTGGATTTGCCAGTTGCCTGTGCCAGCAAATATTGAGAGAGTGTTCACAGTGAAAGTAATTATATTTACCTACTGATTACAAATTTCATATGGAAGTTGGACGATGAGGATGGTGAAGGATGTGTATACTGTACAGTTACATGGATATTTCACTATAAAATAAATTACTGCATTATATTTCTATGATAAAGGTTAGAATGGCAAAGCTTAACTTACGAAATGTTGTTTGTAATGTAGACAGACTGGTACATTGAAAACAGGTGCTTGTAAGTTTGCAATTGTAGTCATGTAGTAGATGTCAGAACAACCATACCTCCATGCAACAACTAACCTTATTACTTACAATATACAGTCTTTATAGACATTATATTAATGTAACATAATTCATAATGATAATAACAAATTTTATTTTTGTCATTAGTTAAGAGAAGTATGACAGCAGTTGGCATAATTATATAAACTACTGTTAAGTAGTACTTATTCTGCTAAAAATAATACAATGGCAGATCTAGAAATTCAAGGATTTTCACAGATAGAGGGTCCACATACTTCAGCACCAACCATGAAAAGAGGAAAATTTATGATTATTGCACCTCTAGATTGCCAGAAATGGCACTGTCAGGTGTAACTTTTATTGTAATTATATTTTTTCCCCATTTTTTATATTAAAAATATATTGGTCCCCGCCCCCCCCCTCCTTGAACCCGCCACTGTAAGTAATATACTAACATTCTAGAGGTGAGTTTGTCAAATTGAATCCTAAATTATAAGGTTGTTTGACTGTCAGTTGCAAATTGCTATTGAGCATCATCAATTGACATTTGGATTAAATTTAAAACTTCAAACCTGTATACCCTTGAGGCTAATTACCATATAAGCTTTTTCTAAGCTAAAGGTGAAACTATTTTATGACTGATTAGTAGAAAATGATAGACTGCATATTAATAGGTTATACATCCGTTTTTGTTTTTTTTTTGAGATTTTTTTTTTAGATCTGCATAATCAATATAATTTAATATAATTACTTTAAAGTAAATGTTATATTTAGAATTGTGATTAGAACATTAGATGTTAAGGATGCATCATCAATGTTATGATTGTTATTTATATATATTGTCATGTAAATTCTGTTATATTAGAATTGATGTGATTAGGACATCAGGATAACAACAGGGCTGCATCATCAATATTATTATGTTAGTTATAATTCTTATCATATAAATATTATTATTATTTTATTGAAATTGTCAGTGTTTTGATTAGAAGTTGAACATTAGAAACCTATCAGAGCTGAAAAAAAATGTGTGATTCTCTTGGTGGCATTCAGTTTTTTTTTTATATAAAAAAAAATTCCTATATAAATTGGAAATTGAAATTGAAAATTTTGATTCGGCCCTTGGAGAATTGTGCAGCTATAGTGCATCTCCAATATCATCGTGTACCACATACGTTTTCCCTTATCTCACTAAAATCTTTTGCAAGGGTTGATTAAGGAGCTCACCAATCAGGTTCCAATTAAAAAATTGATGTCTGTTAGCAAGGTTTGAACTGGGATGTCCAGTACATTGACTCTCAGCCAGATGCACATTTTTTTTTTTTTTGCGGAATCTGCTGTATCGTTGACATTGTAATATAGTAGGCCTATATTAATGAAAATGATTTAATCATTTTTATGCATTTATATAAGTATATTACCTTTATGTTAATTAGATATACATTACACAGGTATTTCTATACATATTTATATAATCTGTGTTATCAATAATTAATTATGTATTTATCATAAATTTATTTATGAAAATTATAATTTTTGTTACTAACATGTTCTCTGTGGGCTCCTTTGTTTATGTTAATTACCATAAGTTTATTATCAATATAACTTATTTGTCGTATATAAATCATAAATTTGTCTAATTAAATCATTATTCAAAGAAATTACGTTTGAAATATTATTTACAAACAATGTAATTGATACCTTAACAGATGAAACAAGGTGATTACCGATATATGTTGATACTGTCCCATGTTTACAGATTAGCTTCTCCGAGTTTCATGTTCTAATAATGTAAAATTTAAGGTGTTTCAGAAGCCCTGAATGACGTACATGATTTTGATGTTTGTGCATTATTTTCTTCGCTGTTATTATTGCAGCAGAGTTACCGATCCAATATAAACCTTCTGCTTTCAGTCTCTAATATTTTAATAGTGCAGAATTTATGTTCTTGTTTATTAATAGAAACAGAAACAGAGACATGTACAGTAGGTGAGATGCCATAAAAGTTGCATAGATAATTTCGAATATAGATTTTGATTAGTGTAAATAATCAAACATCAATCAAACTAAGATAGAGGAACAATATTAAAGAGGAAAACTATGGGGACTTTCAGTGGGCATCTAGTGACTGTCAGTATAAAACTGATTTCTGGCCAGCACATATTATATTTTAAAAACCTTTGTCTTCTCCCTTGTTTCCTCTATATATATATATATATATATATATATATATATATACTCGCCATTTAAGTCTCATGGTTTATTAATGTAGGGCTAATATTAATTATTAATTTTTGTTTCTGTTGTGTCATGTGCATTATGAGAACGTGTCGGTTTGCTTGCATCTTCTGACACATTCTCTCACTGAAATTTCTTATGTTTATGATTTCAGTGGAAAGGTTAAATAGAAATAAAAATAAAAATATTACCTTGCAAAAGAGAACGGGAAGCAAAGTTGGTGGTGGGATTTTTGCTTTGGTATATATTAAGATAATTACAGAATGTTGATGGTCAGTCGGTGATTCACTTCCTCTCCCCACCCCCCACCCCCGGCCCATGGCAGTAAATTAGTTCTACTAAAACAGCCTATGCACCAGGGATTTTCCCCTTTCCTTTGATCTGTCAATGGATAACTTTAATATCAATGTGGAGGTTAAATATATTTCTTTCTTTTCTTTTATTAGTAAATTAAAGAAGAAGGTTGATGAGGAAGAAGAGAAGCGTTCAGTTCTTTCACGACAACAGGCATTTAACCAGAAGCATTGTATGCGATGTTTCTCGGCTTTTGGGCTGGTGTTCAACAAACGAGGGCAGTGTGTTGTTTGTCATTACTTCTTCTGTAAAGACTGTCGAATATGTGTTAATAGCTTTATGTGGATTTGTAAAGGATGTATTTTGGAGAGGTAAGGTCCTATTTATTTTTTTTATATTCTGATTAATACAAGCTTACACACTATTTAATTTTTTTTCCCTTTTTTTTTTTTTTATTGTTTCCAATTGGGCCAAGGGTTGCAATCCCTTTAAGAAGACAAACAATAACATACAGACATGATATTCTAAGTATCATCATGAGGCTTAGGGAGTGTTTTTAGTTGCAAGTAAAAATCATGTAGCAACATTGATTGATGATGTTTGAAAAGTTAAGACAGCACTTGAAAAATATTCATTACCAAGTGAGGATCGGATTTACATTTTTTTTTTTTTTTTTTGGTGGAAAAGCCATGTAAATGTTAATTGATTATTTCTAGTACTAAAAACACTTGGTACACCTGTATGGCAGTTGGCCTGTCCGTTGCATATATTTAGACAGTTTATGTCGTTTAAGCACTTTGATCAGTCAGATTTCTGGCGCTAATTGCCAGAGACAGCCAGAGGCCTGTCAACCATACCCAACTGTCATATAATTGATTTGCTGGATTTACTAATGACTAATATCATTGGTCAAGATAAAAGTTCCGTTTGGAATTTATGACCTTTTAGTTTATCAGGCTGTCTAATTGAAACGCACACACTTTTATGTATTTTGCGGGCATGCTTAGCCAACCAATTGTGTGACTAGCTGGGGATATTTTTCCCCCCTACTGTATCGTCAGGCAAATCTTTAAGTCATTGTATTTATAAAATTTATGCCAATCAAACCATAACTTATGTACAGTAATATTAAACAATTTTTGTCATGTCAATGTTAATTGATGGTCATAATGATGTTGTAGGTGATATTGACATCTTTGAATGTAATGATAAAATTAATAATTAATGAATGCTGATGATAATATGTTACTTATATTGAGTCAATGTATATATACTTTAATAACTTGGGATATTTTTTTTTTAACCAATTCTGATAACAAGTCTAAAATTATTCTAATGATAATAATGTTGATAATGATAATAAAAATTACAAATGTTGGTACTATAACAATAATTTTTTTTAATACTATATTTATAAAAGGTGACCATATCTATCCAAGATAGTTGGATAGTATTCATAGGCTCTTTTAAATGAAATATGTGATTACAGCGCTTTGAGAGTGGAGATGTATTATAATTGTGAAAAATAAGTGTTTGCTGTCACAGGATTTGAGAACCCAGGACTCTGGGATTGGAGGGTTAGCATCTTAACAATCAAGTTACATCTTCACTATTAATTATGTAACATTGGTTTTCATTAGACTCTTCTAATTTTGCTTTCAACACATAATTCCTGTCAAATTTTGCATTCTGTACATACTGTACAAAAGTAGTCATCAAACAAGTGACCAATTCTTGTTTTCCCTCCAATTATAATTGTATTGAAATTGTAAAATTCTCAATAATAGATTTCCTTTTACAACTAATTTTGATGACATTTTTTGAGTGGTTGCTAATAATATACAGTGCATATATAATCGTTCTCATCTTTAAAGTACTTTTCAAATAACTATAAATTAATACAAACAAATTAAAGATTAATGGTTATTTGTGTACAGCCTTAACCTGATTGGGCAAACAACAAATATGATTCACTTGATATATTTGTACAGTATTAACTCTTACATTACAGTAGCATTGCAGTTTATAGCCACTGCTATTTTGGTTCTGAGCTATAAGTGCAATATTGAAGGTCTAGTGATATGATCGATATTCAGTTCCAACTCCAATCACTTGTAATTTTTCTACAAGTGTTTCAATGTACTAGGTTTTGAGATTAAAACAACAATTGTTTAAATAATAATAATGCTACTAAGTAATCATGATTAAAAAAAGTGTTAGTTTTAAGTACTATCGATTGCTTAAGACAAACTGGGGATAACACACAGTTTAACAATCGTTTAAATAAAAATTTAAATACTAACTAATAAATCATGAATAAAATAGTGTTAATGTTATGTATGATTTAGAATCCATTAGACTTTATTGGCAAACTAAGGATAACACACAGTTTTAGCTGTAGACTTAAAAATATAATATTTTCTAAATAAGCTTTTATATGATTATTAATTTTTGCTTACTTTAAGTAATAAGTAGGTTACAAAATATCTGTGTAATGCTAAATTCTATTAGTAACAAATACAAGCTGAATTTTGTTTCTGTATTGTAATAATACATATGCCAAGGATAAATTGACTAGGAGCTCTATAGGGAGTGATATAGTTATTTTGTAGGCTTGCATTTGCAAATGCAGTTGAGAAAGATAAATTTATAGCAGAGAACTAAGTGAATGCCACCGTTTGTACTATAAGAAAAAGTTTCAGGTAAGCATACTAGAACTACAACAATTACTGTTTTCCTTAGTGTTTTTTCAAATTAATTTTAGAGAAATCTGTATTATTTAAATATCTAAATCTAATTTTCTCACAACCAAAAACAACTCCACTCCCTAAACCTCATAAAGAGACTTAGTTTATAAAGCATCATTCTCATCCTATAAGTGGCGAGTTTACTTGCTGTTGAATGTGAAGGAAATAATAATATAAAAAAAATGCATATTATGACCTCTGTATGCTCATCTCATTATTACTGAAATCATTGGAACAAACTCTTAAATAATCGCTATAGATTTGCCCATCTTGTGCGGACAAATCTCGCGGATTACGTAAGGTTTAGTGTCAGTAGATGGAGGCTGGGCCTGGCCCGGCTTGAAACATGCAATATTGCTGTGCACAGCATAAATCATCCCATGTGTTTGAACCTCCAAAGTATCCACATAATAATTTTGGATGGAGAGAGAGGAGAAGAGAGAGACAACCTTAGGTAAGATGCCTTTTCCAGTGACACAAGTGAAATTCACAGTGGTTTGATTTGTTAAAAGCATTTTAAACTGAATAAACATTGATTTATTTACGTATATTTACAATATTATTTTAATTTATTGGTTATTCAATAAATAACATAAAGTTGCATCTAAAAGTAAAACACTGGTTTTACTTTTTATAAAGTATTTCAAGATTGTAACAATGATAATGCTAAATTGAGTGTTTCAAGATGATATTAATGTTAATTCTTTTTCAAATTCCAAAAAGTAGAATGTTACTCACCATTTATGGAATAAAAAAAAAAAGGAATCGTTCCAAATGAATTTGTTCAAAGAATAATAATGATAGTTTACGATACATTGTTTGATCTCAAATAGCAAGATCGTCACTGCAATTAGTAATAATGATGATAATAAAACTGTTGCTAAGGAATATAAAGAATAATAATTTTTATTATAATGATATATTATTATGGTATAATTATATATAATTAATATAAATAATGATGAAATTAATACTGTAATAATATGTAATGATTTATAGTGCACACTATCCATTTCATAAAGAATGGTTTAATGCGCTTTTACCTTGGGTCATTAATACAAAATCAATTATACACAAGGTGAAAAACCTCTTCACATCCCTGGAGAATATTCCCATTCATGTGCATTATTCAGTATATTTACTACCAATTTCATTTCAAAATCCATTAACCTCCTACCAAATACCAGTTTATACTCTTCAAGGTAAACATCAAAATGTCTAGCTCAAGGACACAAGATTATATGACTAACATTAGTCCCGAACATATGACATCCTGATTAAAATCCTAAAGCCTTTCCGCTGTACCACACATGATTCATCATGATGTAATATTATTCTATAAAGTTTGTTGACCTTTGGTTACTCATCAGTAATGATCTGGTAATTATGAACCTCAATTGGTTTGTTTTAAGAATTGATATTTGGATGACATTGTAAGATTAATGAATACATTACGTGAAGCATCATTGATGAGTTGTCAATAGCACAGTAGTAGTCCGATATTTTAATGCTGTGACTAAGTTGAATGCACTCGGGAATTGCTATCTCAATGAGTTTTTAATGTTGAGTATCTTAGATTATTTGCTATTATTATCCTTTCTCATCCTCCTCTAAACAATCAACTTCAATGCAAGTATAACCATCACCCTCCTAAAAATGATTTTTGAAAAGTAATCTTTTGAAAGTAGATTTTTTATTATAATGAATTGTGTATATTATAAGGTGAAGGAATAAGTTATTTTCAGTTTGTAATTGTACATAATACTGTACATTTATATAATTAATTTATAAATATTAACTTATTGCAAAGTCAGTTGTATATATGTTTATATATCATTAATTAAAGATCCAATTTGGTTTTTTTTAAATCACTTCATGTATAGATATCAATTTTAGAATCCAATTTACTAGTGCTGTATGATTACTGAATAGATAGGCCTGAAGTTTGGTAATTAATATTGTGTACATGTTTGTTTTCTATCAATGAAAGAGTACACTATAAAATTATGAACTTTTTCATTTTAAGATCATCATTTCAATTTGGCCATTAAAGAGAACAGTACATATGCCTACACTTTCAACCTCCGTACCTCTCCCCTTTGCAAAAATGGAAAGCCCTTCGCTGTTCCTGTTATTATTTCAATTATTAGGCATTAAAAATTGCTATGTTGCCCAGGCTCAGTAACATTTCAAAATGTAGGCCTGAATTATTTTCTTTTTTACCACACTGAAGCCAAATTTCCATGGAAGAGGTATAAAATGTATTGAACTTAAAAAGTGGGCTTATTATTATTATAAAATTATTTTTGTCTTGTTAGTTAAAAAAGTCATGTTTTTACTTTAGTCAGGCTTGGACAAAACCCCCGTTTTTGGCCTTTAATATTATTATTATTGTCAGTTTTGGAGCGTAATAGTAACGGTGGTCTGTTATACCTGTAGCACTGACAGTACCCTTAGGATAGGACCTAATATTAGAAAGGCATGCATAAACTTCAGCCGCTGACCAATTGTTTCAGAATGCCTTTTCCCTGTTAAAGTTTCCGTAGGTGTAGGGTAAATAGAAAAAATTATTAGATTATCACTCTTTAAAAAAAAAAATTGATGAGGGAGGGCGGTTTTTTTTTTTTTTTTAACAGGGCTCGATTTTTTTTTTTTTAATCAGAACAATAGATTATTTCGCTTCTGTTTTTATCGATGAGGGAGGGACTGTTTATATTTGGTTAGTAATAGTAAATATTGTATAAAAAGTGGTTTAATTTTATAGTTTTAAAGAAAATGTATTTAAAGTAACAAAATTGCATTGTTATTTTTATGCTGTTGAAATAATTGATGCAGCAAAAAAAAATTTTTTTTTATTCCTGCATCAATATTTCCCGAATTTTTTACGCGGGTGGGAGTGATAATCTAATAAATTTTTCTATTTGCCCTAACATTCTGTAGAGAAATAGTGGATGAATACTGACGTATACAAGGATATTATAGAATATATTATTTACTCATTAGCATGAATAGTTTATTTATGTAGGTTAATTATTCTTACATTAGGATAATCGGCGACCTCAAACTAGTAATGGTTACATGACGTTTAATTGGTATAACATGCAATCAGTATAAAAGTATAGGAAGAGAAAACATTTTGGTTTTTTTTAACATAATGCCCAATAATAACGTGGGAAATAAATTAGTAGAAGATTTTTCAAAATTAGGTTCTCATCCTGGTATTCTCTGTACATAAGTATATTTAATCTCTCATGATTCTAGAGCTAGCCTACATGTGCAACTCTCATGAGTCAGATCGAAATTTCTTATAAGGTGGCAATCTGGCTGCATGTACAGACCTACAGTAGTCCTCCTTGAAAAAACTCAAGATTTGGGGTCAATAAGTTTTGAGGCATTAGCAAACCATTTTGTAAATGTTCCCAAGTTCCGTTGCCAAACGATTTAAAGTATGGTGTTCCAACCAATATTATTCATCATCTAATGTGTGCCTTACAGCAAAAAACCCTCCAACGAAGCCTTGCACGCTTGCATATTTTCAATACTGATTGTCGTTCACTCTGTCTATTTATTGTTGTGCCAACTGAAGGTCATGCGAGTATTGTACTGTGCGTATTTTTGTTGTCAAGCAATTTTGTATTCTTTACCACACAAAAAGTCTGCGATGACAACAGCGCATATTTAAATGCTCTTTTTTATTTTCACAAACACAATCCACTTTCTTCGTGTTAGTACGTGATGTGAGCAATGATATTTGTAGCTGATGTCTATATTATGTTTTTTTATTATTATTATTATTATTACTATTTTCATCATCATTTACATTCTTTTCAACGTCTCTGTTTTATGGTACAATACATTGTGTGTTGTTGATATTATTGGTGTTGATTGTTACTGTTATTGCTGTTATTAATATAATATTATGGTTTTTTTTTTAAATGTATTTATTTGGCATCACTGCCCAGGAGATGCAAAAGCAGGAAATGCACTGTCGCCAGAAGGGTGTGCGACCCCCTAATTAGTATTATGTATTTATGTTTGTTTTTTTATAACTAAAAACACAGTAAGTAATTAGTTATTTATATATACAATAATACCTAATTATATTCATCATATTGTATGCATTTTCATTTTATTTAGTCCTTTTTATTATATACTGTTTCTGTTACCTTATTCACTCAATTTGATTTTCCTTTAATTTTTCTGTAATTTAATTGATTTTGTTTCTTCAACATTTAAAAACTAATATTGAAATTGAATTACTACCAATTCTTGAAGTAATTAGGTATCTAATAATTAGAAAGAAGAGAAATATAAATACGTTTCTTATACTTTTTTTCAGACAATTTCAGTCTCAGGCATTTGAATGGTACTATGACAAAATAAAGGACCGGTTCCGTCGCTATGGAAGTGCAAAAGTTGTACGCTCATTATACAAACGCAAGAGCAATGAGTGCTGTAAGTTAATCCAGAATGTCTCCTTGAATATAACGGAGTAGAGCTAGTTGATGTGAACTTACCATCATTCTAGGCCATACATCACTTTAATCCTATGTTAAAGTATTTGTTAAAAAAAAAGAAACTTATGTGTCAACAGTGCAGCTGATATATCTCAAACATCCACATTTTTAATGGCATTACAGAAATCTAATGAATAATGCATTCTGATTTACTGGAAAGGCATTGTGGTAAACTAAAGCATTGAGGATATAAATAATGGTGATTGTTTAAGTAGCCGAGACGACTTCTTACGATTACCATAATATTTATTATGAATAGCAACATAGAGATGTAAATGAATTTTAAGATGGAAATGCTTTTTACTGATTTCAGTCGAAAGTCCAAGTGATCAAAGCAACACAGATTCCGGATTTGAACATCAACTTAGTCCAAACTGCCGAAATAATAGATGTAGTATTGCCCTGGAGGATAAATCTACTAATACAGGTACAATATTATTATTACATTGTAATGTAGATTATCCATTCATACATTGTAACATAAAAAAAAGTGTGACTTTATATGTTTTTATTTCTCAACCTCTTTCTAATTTCTTCAATGAAGATTCAAGAACACTTTTTGTCTCATTTGAAAAAAAGGAAATTTGTTTTTCCTTTGCAACAGTCTCGGTTAAGAAGGATAAAAATTACATGAAAAATCACAAGACAAAACAACTTGGCAATGACAAGAAATATGTCAGATATCAATAAGTTAAAATAGTATAGTTGTAAAAAAGTCATAATAAAAATCACTGTTTAAAATTGTTTAAAATTTACTATGAGTACCTCAGAGACAGACCAGCCATTTTAACAAAGATTAAAACTATAAAAACCTAGCATTTTGCTATTAAAATATTGCATCTGGAAAAAATTACTTCATGTATCGGCAAGTATTTGATTTTGGCACTAAAGCCACTTTTTTTTGTTAAAATCTAATTGTAAATGCAATGGTTGTGGTTCATCCTTCATTATTACGCATAATTTCTGCTTCATACGATTGTGGTGTAGTTTCATTACTGAATCCAGTTCAATATCTCCCTTAATACATCGTTTACTCCTCTTAACAATTCGTTCAAATTACTTCTTGTAGTTAAAAACATTAGAAAGTATAGATGTCAACTCAAAATATCTTGCATCTTGTGTCCATGCCTGCTAATAAATCTTCATCTTTCTATATTTTTGCATCAGATTAAACAATTAGTATCAAAGAAGCATATATTTAAGTAGTCATATATCCAAAAATATGCATCTTGTTTGCTAATTTTCATATTGCTGTAATTATATATATATTTCATGTTATTAATATAATACAGTACCTTCATTTGTTTGATGTTGTATGCTATGTATTGTTCTTAAGATAGTAATATGCTTGTTTGAAGTTATTAAATCGGGCAATGACAATCATTGGCCGAAGCGATTCCATAGAGAATGCAGCGCGATGAGGTGCACGTAACAGATCCTCTGCTCAGACTATTACCAATAATTAGACAGCATCACATAGTCAAGTACTCACAGACAGCGAAGGTGGATTCACCGGCCAATGTTCGTGCCCGGTTTCAAGTCCCTTGATATTTACAATTCAATTGCTTTATCTGTTACAGTACATTACCTTAAGAAAAACTTGACCTTTTCAGTTAAATTAAAGGGAGCATTTCAAACTATTCTTAGAATTCTGGTGGGAGCCGCCAAATGGTAGTTTGAGGATCTTTGGTCCTCAAAGTCATTTTGTCAATAGATTAACTCATTCAGACTGTCGTTACTTTATAAAGCATTAGATAAAGAATGAGCAAATTGAATATCAGTACTATAACAGTTTATCTGCTTTGCATCTCAATGTTGTGTTTCCCTTGTTTGCTTGTTTCTTAAACTGCATGATGTATGATATTTATTGCTACCACTGTAGGCCTGAAAACATCAGTGTGTTCAGCTTCTGCAACCATTCAGAGTGAGTTTTTGCATTATTTATTACCGTAATTTGGCATTTTCACTGTATTTTTTTTCTAGTAAGTAATAGCATCTCAAAAGCAAGGTAAACTGCTGTTCATTCATAACAACAGTTGGCATAAGCAGATTGCCCCCATGTGTTGTCAATGTTACAAAATACTTTTGTCGTGTAGTACTGCACAAAATATCTAAACGTTTTATATTTCTGATGTGCACTAAAAAAAAGTCTTACTGTGCATAGTAAATGAAAGCTATCTGCTTATGACCAGCACATTATGTTTATGAACATTGAGAGTCTCAGTGATGACACTTTCCACATTGTCAATCAAATTTAACATCTGACTAATCAGAAGAGTATGCTACCAGGAATACTCGCATATCTTAGGTATCTCACAAACGCACATGTTTACATATATTCACACTATTGTTTTGTGAGACCTTAGCAACAATAAGCAGCTTTTGATTTGGACGACGCGGCGTTCTACGACGGGCAGCGGAGTGTGAAACCGCACTGCGCATGCGAATACATGGGGAAGTCGTTCGTTGAGTGGATTTGACAACAGGCTTCAAGCGATTTGGCGTTGTGTTGATTACGGCAACGCGAGTTTTATAAATACACGCTCGATGGGGGTGCCTGCATAATTGATCACGCGATACGAGGGAGTGCGTCGTCCTGTAAATTGAAACAGCTTTGATGTTCAGACGGGAAGTGCATAGTACGACGTTCATGGTTGACTGAATTCCCCGTCGCAGCTCCACGCGTCTCCCATTTTGAAAGCTCGCTAATATCTAAGTGGACAGGGCTTAGTGAAAAGGTCCATTTTAAAATGTCATCAACTTAATATTGGATACAATATAATCATATTTTCTGGTCCACGGCGTAGAGCACTTGCATTAAGTTTGAAGCTTGATCATCAATCCCATTTTTGTTGAATGTGGTCGACAATGCAGCAGTAGATTGGGCTCTAAAAACTTTTCATCTTAGAAATAGCTTGTCCACATAAGTGTGTGATGCTAGTACAGTTTCGTGACACTTGAAATCGCACCAACCTGGCCCCTTCCCATTGGGCTTTCTTTTCACGATGTTTGTCCAAACTGTATGCTACTATTTTGGGCTTTTAACCGAAAGGTGGCGATTTGAGTGGCTATACTTTTTCTGTCCTTACTCTATAGGCATTTTATCTCCGAAGTATATCTCTTATATGTATAAAGGGGTACTTGATTGCTAGCATTATTGGATTCTTCTTGGGATTGAGTGTGTCTGATCCAATGACACAGGCAATATTATGAAGCGATGGCTTAATGAGTTATACGACCGACATATTATTACAATTCATTTATGATAATATAATGCAATTCCCTTAAGTACACTTTTGAATATTTGGCCATGCTTCTGAAATGCAATAAGTATTGTTAAATTAAGCAATTTCTCCAAAACAAATTTAACAAAACCAGGCTTTAAAAGGAAAAAATAATGTTGATGTGGTAAAAATGAATATTTGTAAGATATTCAAGGGGTATTTAAAGCAATAGTCATGAACGGCTAATGAAATGCAAGTTTTTGATTATTTGAAAACCGTAGAAAAATGCTATTGAAAGCTTTTTATAGCACTAGACCTACATAATTATTGTTGATGGGACATAGCCCACATCATTTTGAGCTTTATAATTGGTACAAAACCTTGTCCATATGACAGATAACTAGCTCCTAACGGTAGAATATACGATATTGAAGTCATAACAAAAAAACATGGTTGGTGAGGATGTTAATTGGCGGCATCAACAAACAAGTTGCAGAGGATGGTAATGATTCTTGACATTTATTTAGGGCTTTCCACATTCATGACGTCTCTCAAAGTGCCTGGCATATTGCTATAGTCACGGACACACTAGCTCTCATACACAATGAGCAACCTCCTGTGAATGTGATCCTTGGGGAGTAATCTGTGTCATGCTTCAATAATCAACATAGATGAAATATATTTAACATTAAAGTTTCATATCCTACCTATTTATACACATGGGCAGAGAAATTTTAAACCCAGATGTCTTGCCAATGAACATAAGCAAGTGACCTAGATGATATGTAAAACCTCATCTTACTTTTAGAACCACTTATTGAGGAAATATATTAGGGTATCGTTAGCTTGTACATTTCTGCCAGATTGTACTTTAATTGTATTTGTTTATTTATAGTTACATAAATCGCTTTATAATATAGCCTTTTGATTTGCACTGATGTTGGCGGAAGTGTCAATTTATAGTTCTAGAACTACTTGACTTTCCTTGAAAGTCAGTATCATGTTCTGTATTGTTTACTTATCTTGAAACAAATTTGAATAGAATTGAATATTGCAATCGTTACTTCAATGCATCAAATGATGTATTCATTTATATATAGCACAATTTTCCATGGTTACAGTTTCTTCTGGATATTAAATTCCAGGTGAAAAAGAAATTGACATGTGTTTCCATTATTGTTCTTTTTTTTAGATAAAGACTTTCTTGAAAGCATGAGACCGGATATGGAGAATGTATCTACTCAATGGCCTCCGGCAAGTCGTAGGAATTCATATAGATCAGAGAGTTTATCACCTGACACAGAAACATGGCAGGTAAGCTGAGTCAGACAAATAATTATTTATTATTTATTCAACTTGTAGAATGGCAACCAAAATACATGAATAAGAGAGAAAATATAAGGGATAGTGCTTAGAGAAGCATAACAAGTGTATTATAGCTCTTCAAAAATGCGCCCTCCACAATAGAAAGATGGAAGAAGAATGTCAAATTGAAAAGACAAAATTGATAGTAAACAGATAAAAAAGCACAGTTTATGAATACCCAATATTTTTGTCTTTGATATTCAATATACCCCTTAATTAATGAATATTCAAAATTATTACAATCACAAATATTCAATATTGTAATTCATAAATATCCAATATTGTAATTTATGTATATTCAATACTGTAATTCATGAATATTCAATATTGTGATTGATGAATATTCAATATTGTAATTCATCTATATTCACTATTATAAATCATGAATATTTAATATTATAATTTATGAATATTCAATATTAAAAGGCATGAATATTCAATATTATTATGCATAAATATTCAATATTATAATTCATATATTCAGTATGGTAATATTCAATTATACTTCATGAATGTTCAATATTATATTTCATGATCATTCAATATTATTTTATTTCGTGATCATTCAATATTATTTTATTCCTCATCTTATTTATTTTTGGCTAGAAATATATATAAATTGGTGATTTATATTGGTTAAAAGAAAAGAAATACATTATACAAATAATATCCTTTACTTAAATGAACAAATTTCTGGAAGTTTTTATACTGGAAAAATGAATTTCTTTTGAAATTTGATACTTATTACTCAGGTACAAAAATTTAGATATGATTGCGTTTCAAACAATACATCGTAAAACGATGTCATCTTTATTTACACGTAACTGAATTGAAGAAGTTATTTAAAAATCTATGATATTTGATATTACCGTTACCTCAACATGTGTGACAACTATTTTATTACCAATTCTCTGTGTAGTGTTGTAAATTCATACTCATAGGCATATATTGCTAAAGGCATGTTCTGTACTAACTCCAAGATGAATTATTAATAAAAGACATATATAATAAACTATAATGTCTTATATAAACATACATGGTAAGCTTATTACATTTGGAGCATAATATTTTAAGATATATTCAAAAGGTCATCATGAATGTAACCCAAGGCAATATTTTGAATTTAAATGTCATTTGTCATCATGAGGACAATTTACATTAAATGAACATATTTTTCAAAAAACCTGAAATCAAATCAACTGAATGTATAAATTCTGATGGACTATGATTTATTAAAAATTCATAAGAAGGAAATGTGACACGCTATACAAGAAGTTATGTTGGATATGTTGTACATACAAAGTTTAAATTGTAATTCAACTGCAGATTTTATCTTGACAGATTTTCAATGTGTGTATTAAATGTTGTTGAATCATCTGCAGCATATCTAATGATCATATACGTTCAACTACCATACACTCA